ATTCTCTCCCTGGAAGATTTCTGTCTGCCTATTAAAGTATCCTAAGCATCTTGAACTGTTTTTGTGCCCCAAAGTAAACAAATAAATGAGTTCTGCTCCTCTATCAACCAGAAATACTTTTAAATTTAAGCCAACATACCATAAAGAAAATTCAAGTACCTGAGAGAGACAAAGAATGAAACAGGGCTAACAAATTTTCCCTAATTTTTCTTATTATTGTATCTCAATAACAGAAGAATTCAAAACCTAGCTTTAACACATTTAGTTAACACTTTTCAAAGGCAATTTATTTTGCTCTTTAAAGAGGTTTAGGCTGCATGTTTAAAAACAAGTCCTGTAATCACTGGTAGGGAAATTTTTCCCCGTGGGGATGTGAATCTTAAGCTGCCTCATGTATTTGTAATATCGCTCACATTCTATTCTAAAAGCCTATTAATTTTGTTGATTAGGTCAACAAAATTACAGCTAGGTGAATAGGTCTGTGGCTCCTAGTGTGACCAATTTACAATTTACCACTGGTAAGATCAAATTTAACTAAACACCCATTCAAAAACTATAACAAATGAAGTTTGTTTTTGCTTTGTTTAAGGAACTTTCGAACTACATCTGTAGGACTTAATCCAACCTCCTACTAAGTGAGGAAAAAAGTTTTTCTTATGAGCAGTATAGTCCTACGTTTGTCCTAAAAGGCAGATACAAGTGGGTACAGGGTTTCTTTTGGGGGTGATGAAAATGTCCTAACATTGATTGTGGTGATGGTTTTACAACTCTGTAACTACTTAAAACTACAACTAAAAACATTTTAAATTGATGAATTGTATGGTATATGAATTATATCTAAATAAAGCTGTTATTTTTCAGTAGTCATTATAAGTTCTTCCTTCATTCAAGGATGTTTCCATTGATAAGCCTTTTCTCCAAATGTTAAGCGGGTCTAAGGTGGCCAAAGAATCCCAACCAGAGAAAAATACTGTGACACCAAAGGAAATGGGAAAACAGAGAGGGTTAGGCCAAAGTCAATCAAACCTAAAATTAAGGAGATTGATAGGCTGGAATGAGAGTAAATGAGCTCCGTATCATTAACACCTCGAACCATACAAAGAAATGTGTATTTAAGTTCCACCCTGTTCCTAATGGTAGAACCAGCAGGCCTACTCAAAGATGCTGACTATATTAAAACATTTGAGAGTATTACACTTTAGCTATAAAATGAAGGGATCAAACTAAAGACCCACAGGAAGTTAAAGTTGAAAAAAATGTGTCTACTGTGCCATCTGGGGTTTGATTTAAATCCCTGATTTTTGGACACTGCCACAGAAGAAATTTGTGGAATCTGTCTATCTGTGGCCAAATGTTAGACATTTGAGGGCAACAAAGAAAGTTATTAAAGCCATCAAATATATTCCAATCAAACTTGGGAGACTCAAAAAAGTATTTACTGAGCAGCCAACTATTTTTTGCCTAATAGTTACACTCCTAAAATTAATCATTTCCAAATACCACATAGCGGCACGGAAAATCTGTCCTTAAAAAGACATCTAAGTACATCAAGAGGAAATGAAAATGCGCATTTTAAAGGTAGCAAAACCAGAGGTCAGATTAATTGTAAACTAAAAAAAAATTTTTTTAAGCCCAGGAAACAAGCCTGGTTATCCTACATGCTCGATGTAATTTGAAAAACATTTATTTCCCTCTTTAAACTTTTAACTCCGGATTTAGCAGTCTTCGTGATTTATTATCCTTTATCACATTTACCTTACCATATTTTCACAAATTTCTGTGAACCCCAAGTTTTCAAAAGCAAAGCAGTTTAGGACCCTCACAGAAAGCAGCTATAAACTGAAACTATGTAAGTACCATTAATTAAAGATACAAAGATAAGAACAAAAGGAAATGGAAGTGCTTTACAATTCTTCCCCTAACCTCCCAACGGACAAATACCAACAGACCCAATCTCCATTTTAACACAGCCACTTGTATTCCAAAAAATTAGCAAACAAAAATCATCTAGAACACAGGCATTATACAGCCATGGCCTTGGACAGTATTTCGTACCTCTTATTTTTTTGTCGTTGCTTTATTTCAACTATATGAAACCACTTGTTCACAGCTTCCTAAAACAAAACAGTTTCTGAAACAAAGACTGTTTACATCTCTTAAGAAACCTTTGTTCCAACAAGACCCTTCTTCAAGAGCTACAACTTCTGGAAAGATTTCCCTTTTTGTGGTTATATCAACAACAAACTCTTTCCATTTGGCACAGGAGTTTTGTTAAACAAAGGACGAAGAAAGCCCCCCTCACACAAAGGAGGTCTCCAAAACAGAGCACTGGTTGTGTTTGTAGATTATTTGTGCCTCTTTAACACCCTTCCTCAGGCAGTAGAATGTACTCCTCTCAATACAAAATGGTGGCCATCATGTCTGTCTGACATTCAGAATGGGAAAAGGCAACATGAGCACACATTTTGTAAAGCTTACTATTCCTGTCCCAGCCAAGATGAGGAAATGGGTAGCCAAACCTAAGCAGAGCCAACACTATCTTTTTGGGAAAGGGCCCTAGAAAAGGCACAGGGTAATAAAGTAAGATAAAGGGTTTACCCCAGCCCTTGTACACCACAATACCAACATGGAGGACAACTCTCACTCCCAGGAACCAGACTTCACACATTTTGGTTACCAAGAACTTAACCAAGTTGCCTCATTTCTGACTAAAATCCCACTAATGCAAATGTACAACATCCACACTCACCCTTCCTAGCATATGGCATAAAACTAAACTGCTAAATGTCTGAAACATGACCTATTCTTCAAGAATTAAAACCTTGGCTCTAATCAGCTCCGGCTGTAACTTCTGCAGGCCCCTTTGCACTCTAGAAGAAATGCACGTCCCTTAAGCAACAAGAATCAACCTTGTCCACTTGAGAGAAATGGTTCTATTTTCAAACATTTCCCCCATACGAGCTGACCAGTTATTTTCTGCCGCATAGATTTCATCTTCATTTTCAAACTTGTCCAAGAAAAACCAAAGTACGGTGTCCGTGTTTTAATTTGGGGGGGAGGGGGAAGGGAGACGGCAGAAACGACGTATTAAGAGATCTCCCTCAAAACTGATTTCCAAACCCTAATGACTACATATAGAACCCCTGCAACTCCAAATGTCATTACAAAGAGCGAGCTTAAGAAAGAAAGGGATGGGAGGGGGGAATCTTCCTCCAATGGGGGTGGAAGTGGGGGTGGAGTGGGGGGCGGGGAAGAGTGGGGAGAAGATTCTTAAACTGTAGGAAAGGCAGTTAAACATCCTTCCCAACGGTCCCGGCCCGTCCAACCGTCCTTTAGGCCAACTCGGACTCCGACCATCCGCAAGGTGGGCAAAAAAACAGGGGTGTCGACGCGCACCCAGCTCCAGCCGGGGGTGGGGGGCGGGCGTGGGGGCCAGCGGAGGGCCGGCCGGGCTCTCCTCAGCGAACGTTGGAGCCAACGTTGGAGCCGTTAGGGATGACTTCAGCAGCACCCCACCCCTCACACACACAGCCCCCAGGCCCGAGGCGCTTTAGGCACGACTCGCAGGGCTGAAGCGGGGCTGCATTTCAGCCTCCGGGGGTTGGGGTGGGGGTGGGGGGGCGCGGGAAGTGCGCGTTACGGCTTCGCAGGTCTCCTGGTCTGACATGTCCCCCTACCGCACGGCCTCGCCCCCCACCCCACCAGCGCAGCCGAGACCTCCCCGGGGAGCCGGGCGGCCGGGCCAGAAGTCGGGTGTGTGCGCGGCCGGGCGGGCCCCGGACCCTCCGCCGCCGGTCCCGCTCCCCCACCACCCCCAAGTGCCCCCCACACACTTACGCCCCCCACAACACCTCGGCTCCGGGGCCGGCCCCGCGGCTCCTCCCCGCCCCCCGGCAGCGCTGGACGCCCCCTCCTCGAGCCCGGCCCGGGGAACAGCAGGAAGCCCGGAGCCCGGGGGGCAAGGGGGTGCCCCGGCCCGCGGGGTGGGGCGCCCAGGTGAGGGCCGCTCCGGGCCGACGCCGCCACCACACAAAGGACCAGGGGCTCCCGCCGCCATATTGAAAACTTTCCTCCGCGCACGACAACTCGCAAGTCCCCCACCCCCACCCAGCACACACCCCCGCACCCCGGGGGAGGAGGCGAGCCCCGGCCCGCCGAGCAGCGCCGGGCCCGGCGCCCGCCCTCCTCGCCCGCGCCGCCGCCAGCCTCCGGCAGGAAGCACCCCCTCGCCCACCCCGGCCGCCACTCCATCCGGAACCGAACCCGAACCCCCGGCCGGGCCGCACACCCGTCCGCTCGGGCCGCGCGTCGCCCGGGGCCCTCGGGGTGGCACCGCCGAAGCGCCCGCTCTCCCACGCTCCCCATCTCCCACCCTGAAGAAGCCCCGTCCTCCTCCCCCGGCCTCAACTCCGACCCCGGGGCAGCCCCAAACTTGACGCGGCCTCCGGGGCGACCCCCGCTCCCCGCCCCCCGCGCCTCGGGCCTCGGGCCTCCCCGGCCCGCGCGTCCTACCTCCCTCCCCCAGCCGCGAGCAGGATCCGGGGTGCCGGCGTGACTCACCGGCGGCGGCCGCACCTTACAGATCCCAGTCTGCTCGGCTATGGGCCGGATCTTGTGGATGAAAGCGAAGGGGTCCGCGAACTCTTCCCAGCTGGGCTCGAAGACCGGGCACTCGGGGGGAGGCAGGAACTCGCCCAGCGGGCCCGGACCCCCGAGGGGCAGCGCCGGGCGCGGGCCCGGGGGCAGCGCGGTGGCCGGCTCCATCACCGCGGGTCGGGCACGGGCGAGGGCAGGGTGGGCTCCGGAACCGCGGCGGCGGGCTGCGCTGGGTCCGAGACGGGTGCAGACGCGACTCCGGCAACGGCAAGTCCGACTTGTACTAGCAACGGCAGCACCTTGGGCTTTTTCAGCCTTCCTCCGACGACGTCTTGCCGCTAACCCACGCCGTGCGCCTCCGCCGCCACGGCGAGGAAAAAGAGTCCCACCCCCACCCCCACCCACCCCCACCCCGCGCCGAGCTCCCGGCCCCGCCCCCGAATCGGGCGGGGCCCGGGCCTTCGGCCTCGGGATGAAGTTGATCCTTACGGTCCAGTGGAGCTAACATTTATTGACCATTTACTACGTGCCAGAGTCCCTTCCCTCAAGAAGTTAATACTCTGGTGGAGAAAATCGGACACATAAATGGATTATATCAGTCATGTCAGTACACTGTGGTAGGTGCCATGACAGAAGTATATACACTTAGTAAAACCTGGGGAGGGGCCGAAGGTATTTGGCATAATGGGGAAGGATTTTCTAGTAGGGGGACCGGCTTGAAAGTAAGAACAAAATGGAGGTGAGAAAACACTAGTTATAATGTTAATAATAAGCTAACACTCTTGAGCACTTGCATATCCTGGGCACTGTTCTAAGTGCTTTGCATAATTAATCATTTAATCTACACAACAACCCTTTGAGGCAGGTACTCTTACTTCCATTTTACAAATAAGGACAGTGAGGCACAGGTTGTTTAAGCAATTTGCCCAAATTCACACAGCTAACAAGTGATAGAGACTCTATCTTTTGGAATGAGAGGTGTTACAGAGAAAAGAGTGGTCCGGGAGCAAAATAATGGCAAGGTTGAGCGTGAGAGAAGCCAAAGACTTTAAAAACAATCCAGTTGAGAAACTATGGTGCCTAAATTAAGGCAGCAGTGCTATTCATTCGGAAGAATGCATGCAAATGTAGGAGATAAAATTAGGACATAGTGATAAATTGGGGAAGGACACTAAGGTATCCAGGATGATTCAGGTGTCTAGGTACATGCCTGAATGGTTGCTGGTGCACGGGCATTGCCAATGCATTTCCCTGGATTATATAAATGAGGAGGTATGAGGAGGGAGATCATGTGTTCACTTCTGGATATGTTGAGTTTGACGTGTCTTCTTCGGTACAGTTGGAAATATCCAACAGGCTGAATAGTATAAATCCGAAGGGCAGAGATCAGAAATAGAGATGTAAATCTAGAGTTATTAGCATATGACTGATAGCTATTAATTATCTAATGCTAATCTAATACTGTGTGAAAGCATTGTTGTAAATGCTTTGCGTGTATTTGTGTATTAGCTCATTGAATCTACACAACCATCCCGTTGGGTAGGTACTACTATTACCCCTATTTTGCAGAGCAAGCAATGGAGGCACAGAGAGGTTAAGTAATTTTAAAAGTTAAGAACATTTTTGAGGCATGGGTGGGATGTGTGTATGTAGGGTGAGTGCCTAGTGCCCTGCCCAGGAAAGGGGAGAGAGGAAATTTAACAAGTAGGACCTCAACACTAAAAAGATCTCTTTCATTCAGAAAGCAGCCAAACCCATGGAAGTATCATTTGGACCAACAGCGTCCTAGCTCTGTTTTCAGATTCACCCAGATGAAAGAAGTCTCTCTTATCCTTAAGGGTTCTTCAAGTTAAAAAGTGGGGAGGAGAGAAGCCTCCTCTTCAACAAACTCTTCCCAGAGATACTTGGCCCCATGTTTTGGGGCCCCATGTTTAACCTGTTTGTTTAAAAAGGGCCTTGCAGAAGGTACTCCTTTTCTTGGCTCTCTAGGGCTTCGGACCTACATAAACCTTTTTTGCTCCCCACTGCAACGGAGACTTAAGCCAAGGGGCAGCTGGCATCCTACTAGAGAAAAAGTCATCAATGTAAGATAGAGATGAGATAAAATTATAATAAAATGTCAATGGTAGAACCTAAGTGGTGGGTGTAGAGGAATTTGCTGCAAAATTTTTTTAACTTTGCTGAATATTTTAAATTCTCCCATAATAAAATGTTGGGGAGAAGAATCATTGCTGCTCCTTGCCATGGGTGTATTTGCTTTTGAGGGTTTTGCTGCAGTTGATTTCCTGTCATGTGCTCTTTCCTGGGAGAACGTTAAGACTATTTTCACACTTAACATTGGCATCCTTCAAGCCGGATAAGTATAACTTTGAGAAAAATTCTAGACTCGTACCAGTAATGACTATTAACTGAGGTGCACAGGAAGAATGAGCCTGGGATAATCTTTCCCAATCCTCAGCCGTGTACTAGAACTCCCTCACGCTCCCAACTCCCAAGCTCTCTCCATTTCCGGTATTGACCCTAAGTGATGAGATTTTGTTGCTCCCAGATCTGGCAGCAGCTGTTTGGCTCCCCGAGGACCCGATGTGACGTTGAGGGAGGGGGCGGTTGCCAGGGTAGTCAGGGGAACCTAGGGACCCAGAGGGCTCTCCGGGATGGCGACAACTCCCCCCGCCCCGCAGAAGACGCTTCCCTTGCCCTTTATGATGTGTGTTTACATGGGCGGAGGGATCCCTCCCCAGCTGACAGCCACACCGCGGCCGGCTCTTCTTTTTTTAAAGAGCCTAGCCACAGGCAGTGATTGGCCAAGGCCAGGGCCGCATCAGCCTCCGGGGGCGGGGCCGGGGCCGCATTGTCTCGTCTGGGGCTGGCCGGACGCCCCAGAGGCCGGACCTGGGCAACCCCGGCTAGGAGGTCCCGGGGCTGGGTCTCCCGGAGGCCTTGGGAGCGAGGCCTGGGCGGGGTCCGGTTTGGCTTGCTCGGGGAGAGCGGGGTTGGAGCCCAGGCAGCCGGAGCGGAACCAAGCCCCGCTCCGAGTGCCACGTCTCCAGGAACCCCCTCCTTACTCTTGGACAACACTCCGCCCCACCCGGGCCGCCGTCCCCCAAACTACCCCTATTTGTGCTGCCCCAGATCCTTTGGACACGTCCTCAGGGGGCTCCCCCCTCATCCGCCCCCTCCGTCCGCAGGCCTCATTCCGCGAGCCCGCCCCGCCCCCGGCCTGCGCCCCAGATCTGCAGCCTTCGCCCCTAGATCCGCCCGCCTGGTGATGAGGCGCTCCCCGCGTTCCTTCCGGTCTCGGCGACGGGACGACCACGCTCCAGGGCTGCGAACTAGGAGAGCGACTTTCTCCCTTCCCCTCCCACCTCCAGCCGCCAGTCCCCCGCGCTCTCCCGGGGGACGGGGCTCCGGGACGGAGGGCCGGCCCGGTTCCCCAGCAGCCTGGGAGGGGGCGGTGGCCCGCGCAGCACGTAGCGCACGTGTAGGGGCCGCTCTCCACCCCCTCCGCAGCCCGCGGCCTCCGACCACTCTCCCGGGCTCCCGGTGTCTGCGGTGCGCCTGCCTTCCGCCCCGAACCCCCAGTGTCTGCCCCCTTAAACACTGCACCCCTTCTCACACCACCCTTCCCTTCCCAGCCCTGCTGATCCTCTCCTCTCTTTCTCCCTTCCCCCCAATTTCCCCAGTGCACGGGCCTTTCCTCAGACTCTTCACAGTTTGTCTCAGCTCCTCGGATTCAATGCCATCTTCTCTCTCCCCCACCACTTTTGGTGTCCTGGAATGTTTGGTGTCGGATGTCCCCTGTGGAAACCCACAATCCATGAGATCTCGAGATGAGCTGCAGCCTGTTTGGCCTCCCTGTTTTATTTATTTCGTGTACTCCCACAGCGTCTCGTTACTACTCTCTGTTACTGCAATCATAACTCGGGATTTGTCTTTTTAACACTGCCCTCTTCCCTTACACCCGCCTCTCCTCCGGATTGGAGCCGCTGGAGGGAAGGAGTAATGGTCTCTAGCCCTGGCACCAGGCACGTGGTAGAAACTTCACAAATATTTGTTCAAGGAGAAGGGAAGTGACCTTGAGTGTCTGTAGCTCCTACTGGCTGAGGATGGAGCTTTGGACAGGACAGGAGAAGCATCTGGTTGCTCAGGTGAAGCAGGAAGAGATCTCACAATTGATCAGTATGTGGGGGATGGGGGAGCCCACATAGTGGGATAAACCCATCTTCCCCCATTCCCTGCCATGCTCGTTTCCCAGGAACCAGCAAACCCTCCTCCTCTGCTAGACTTGTCTCTTGTGTGGGACTTCTGTGTTCCCTATTCTGCCCTACCCCCAGCTGTGGGGACTGTCTTTTCAGATCAGCTCATCCCACGACAAGGGTCTCATCTCTGGGCTTCTGTCCCTGGGAAGTTGGGTCTGGATCCTGGGGAGACACCTGATAACTAAATCCCCATCTTCTCCTCCTTCCCATGTTTTCTTCCTCCCCAGTTCTGGGATCCCTTCTCTGCTGACTCAGACCAAGGGGATCCAGGGTTCAGCGCTTTGGTTGACCTGGGTGTGAAGGGTGTGGGGCCCAGGAGCTAGGCCCTTGCCTGGGCCCCGTCCCCAGGGAGCCTCCAACAGACACTGGCAAGCGGGGCAGTTCCCACGGTGTGTGGCCAGCCCTGCCCATGGGGTGGGGAGGGGCAGAGTTACCCACACAGGGCTTCAGGGTGTTTCCTCCCCTTCTGGTTGGACCACTTTAGAGGCCCTAGACTCTTTCTCAGAGCAACCTTGTGCAGAGAAGCTGAGAGGCAGAGGGAAATTCACGTTCCCTGTTCATCCTGGGGTGCCACCACCCCAACTAAGGTCTCTGGACTGGGGCACCCCTCGCAGCATGCCCTATGGCCTTGGATAGTTGGAATGTTTGGAATTCTCTGTGTCCACGATGAAAGTCTTCCAACACAAAGAAAATGGCTTCTACACTAATTATGTCAGAACTTCTGGAAGCACTACCGAATCTCCTACGCTCATTTGAAATTCAGTGTTGACCAAATCCGGTTGAGTGGCCAACACAGGGTCAGACACACTAAATGCTAAATGGTAATTCTTTCTTCTCTCCCCTGGAAGGAAGGGGTGATATATGAACAACCTGAAATACTGTTCTGACATGAATAAGACAGGGCCAGTGGCTGGGGGTACGTAGTCTCTTAGACGTATCAACACTATAAGGTAGGGGGGGGTTTCAGTGTCATCACTTTTCAGATGGAGAAATTGAGACTCGGAAAGGTTAATTAGCTAAAGCCACACAGATAATAACAGCGTTAGGACTAGAATGATGATCCTAAAGCCTTTGATCATCCCCAAACATCAAGGTGGTTTCTCTAAAGCTCAGAATCTCACACCCGCTGCCCCTTAACCTGCCAACATGTATCCATTCTCTCCCCTAAGCCTCAGTGGCTTCACACTTCTTGACTGTGTTTATATACCAAGAGTTTCACAAAAGTTTCACAAAACAGTACTGGCCCTTACACAGTGATACACAAACATGCTGATGGAGACCCATGAAGCTGGTTTTATAACCCATGAACGGATTGCGGCCTCAGTTTGAAAAATGCTGCTCTGTAGCTAGTTTTTCCTGCTGAGTGGGCAGCTTTCAAGATGATCTACACCAAGCAGTGAGTTTTCTCTACTGGTACCCGTATAATCTTACATTTTGGCCACTGCCCCTCCCCCCTCATGTCTTCTGTAAGTCCTCCAGGATATGGACCACATCATATACAAAATCAGTCATCAGCTCGTTTCTCTTCTGTCCGTTTTTCATTGCAATCGATTCATTTTCCTCCTACCCCTGACCACAGCACTTGAACCCCAGGGATCACTTTGTGCCTCATATTTTTAGCACCTTATCCCAGACAGGTGCCTGGTATAAAACCAGGATCTAGCATGGTTTTTCAGTTTCCCAAGACCTGACTTGGAGCAGTGGCCAAAGACTCAAATGCCTACAGGGGGCAAGGCAAATGAGGAAAGTCAGCCAGGTAGAGTAGGAAACTGAGAATGCACATCCGGCTACCAGGGCCGTCACTAAGTCAGGCCAGGGTGGGCAGCAAGTTGCAATTTTTCAAGAGAGGCCAAAAGTCTAGGTTTTTATACAAGCTCCCTTAATTTTTAATTTTTTTAACGTTTATTCATTTTTTTAATTTTATTTTTTTTAATTTACATCCACATTAGTTAGCATATAATGTTTATTCACTTTTTTGAGAGACAGAGACAGAGCACAAGCAGGAGAGGGACAGAGAGAGAGACACACACACACAGAATCTGAAGCTCCAGGCTCCAGGCTCTGAGCTGTCAGCACAGAGCCCGATGGAGGGCTCGAACCGCGAACCGTGAGATCACGACCTGAGCCAAAGTTGGATGCTTAACCGACTAAGCCACCCAGGCGCCCCAAATTCCCCTAGTTTCTACATATTCAATCTTCAAACAAATTTTTTTTTTTTAAAGTGTGTGAGCCAATCAAATGAGCTTGTGATCAGACCATGTTCTGTGTGGAGCCACCTGCTCTGGAGAGGCTAGGGGGATGATGCACTTCAGACCTTCAGAAAGAACAATGGTTGCCAAGGGAGCACTAGCTGAGGCACCCAGAGAGAAATGCTGGAATGGAGGTGGGCTCCTGCTCCATCCCTACCCTGTGGGTCAGGTTCAGCCTCCTGGGCTTAAAGGAGAACTCTGACTTCCAGCAAAGTCTGGAGCCCACACCCAGGACATACGATAGCAATAAGCACAGTGTCATAGATGGCCAACCCATAACTGCAATGTTGATGAGGGACCTGGGGGGTGTCCTTGCTTTTTAATATTTCCTCCCTCCCTCAACTTTTTGCCTCCTCTAAAGCCCTCAGAGAAGCGGAAATCAAATGACAAGCTATGGAAAGGTTCTCAAAGTGCTGTGCATCAGTGTAAGAATCTGAAAGTAAAATTGGGGTGAAGGCTTAGGAATTAAAGTAAGGCGGGCCTCCCAGATATGAGGGAAAAGAAGACAGTGCCATCATGGTTGAAAACGATACTTGTTCCTTATAATAAAAAAGCTAACATTTATTGAATGTTTGCCATGTGCTACGCATTTTTGTGTGAATGATCTCTTAAAATCTTCTTAAGAACCCTTGAGAATAGGCATCATTTTTATCTTCATTTTCTAGATGAATGACTGGGATTCAGAGAGGCTGAGTCACTTAGCCAAGGTCACATAGCCAAGAAGTTTAGCAGAACCAGGTTCTGCCCAGGCTGTCTGAGTCCAGAATCTGTGCTCTTAACCATCACCCACATATCACCCTCCCCTGTTACACCGCACAGTCCTGGCACTGTGGTGTCCCTGACACCTAGCACAGTGTTTGTTGAAGAAATACATGGTCACTCACCATTGTCACATAATGCCTGACAATTAGTGAGTTTATAAATACTCGTTGAGCATGTTCTCTGGGCCAATTACTATGCAAAATGCTGTAGACATAGCATTGAATAAAACGAAGTCCCCGCCTTCCAAGGACTTATATTCTAGTCTGGTGGATAGAGACAGACAATAAACACATACAGGTAAGATGGTTTCTGGTAGAAATCAATGCTAAGGAAAACAGGATATGTGATGGAGTGATGGGAGGCTGGGTGGGAGGCGTGGTGAGTGGCTACTTTAGGCACAGTGACTGCAGGCAGGGAGAGCATCTGGGCTCACATTTGAATGTTGGGAAGAAGATGGCTCTTGGGACCTCTACAGAGGATAGTTCCAAGAAGAGGAGTACCATATATGGAGACCTGAGTCTGCAAAGAGCTTGAAATGTCCAAGGGATGATGCTCCTCCCCACAAGAAAGCCAATGGGTCAGGGGAGATGAAGTCAAAGAGGCAGGCAAAGGGCTAGATCAGACAGGATCTTGTAGGCCATGGTCAGGAGTTTGGGTTTCATCTTTCAGCCACAAGTCATTGGAGAATTGTAGGCCAGGGAGGGATAGCATTTGGTTTGTAATTTTAAAAGGTCTCTCTCACTGCCATGTGGAGAATAGATGACAGGAGAATGAGGGCGGAGGTGAGGAACCAATTAGAAGGTGTTTGCAATAGTCCAGGCAGGAGACGACTGTGGCCCAGACTCATGTGGTAGTGGTAGAGGTTGTGCGAAAAGGTCATGCTGTGGATGCATTTTGGAGGAAACGGTAACAGGACTGATTAGATTGAACGTAGAGTGTTCAAGGGAGAGAGGCACCGAGGATGGCTTCTAGATTTTTCCCCTGAGTAAATGGGCAAATGGTGGTGCTATTTAGGGAGATGGGGAAAGCTTGTGGAGGAAAAGATTGGGGATATAGGGGGGCACCTGGGTGGTTCAGGCTGTTAAGTGTCTGACTTCAGCTCAGGTCATGGTCTTACAGTCTGTGGGTTCAAGCCCCGCGTCAGGCTCTGTGCTGACAGCTCAGAGCCTGGAGCCTGCTTGGGATTCTGGGTCTTCCTCTCTCTCTGCCTCTCCCCAACTTGTGCTCTCTCTCAATAATAAATAAGCAAACTTCAAAAACTTATTTAAAAGAAAGATTGGGGATATATGAAGATCTATGTTTCTGTTTTGACTCTGTTAAAGCTGAAATACCTTTTATTCATCCAAATGGAGATGTTCAATAGTCGAGTAACCTGGAGCTCAGGACAGGAGTCAGGGCTGCAGACAAGATCTGCCCTGGGTCATCAGCGTGTGTGTATATCTATGTATATGCCCACAAGCTTATATATGTAAAAGCCTACAGATATGGAATAATGTATACACACACACACACACTCACGCACACATATATTGTATATATGAAGATAGTTATACACACACATGCATGTATAATATATAGTACTTAAAACCATGGGACTGGGTAAGATCACCCAAGGAGAGCATATAGGAAGAGAGCCAAAGACTGAGTCCTAGGATCCTCCTCCATTTATAGGTTGGGAAGAGGATGAGCCAGGAAACAAACAGAATGGTCAGTGCGGGCAAGAATGATGTTAGGGAAGAAAGCATTTCAAGGAGGAAGTAGTCAACCATGTCAAAAGTTGCAGAGAGGTTGAGTAAGATGAGAGAAAACGTGAAATGAAGTGGGGCTAAATAATAAAGGCAATGCTCTCAAGGAGTTGTGCTGTGTTGGGGTTCCAGAGGAGTGGGCAGAATTTGGACAGAACATGAATTTAGAGAGGAATTTTGCTTTTTTTTTTTTTTTTCCCCATTGGGAGATAGTAGAGCTCCTGGTCAAGATGATGAGAATGGTCCAGCAGAGAGGGAGTAGAGGATAACGCAGAAGAGAAAGAGGGTCATTGCAGGGGTGCAGCACCCTGAGCCGGTGAGGGGGAGTGGGAGTCAGGGCACAACTCCCTGAGGAGGAGAGTGTGGAGTTGAGGTTCAGGGAAGTGGAGGCATGGTGGAAGGGAGGTTTGATAGTTCCCCGTATCTCTTTTCTCTGTTAAAAGATGCTGATGGTGGGGTGCCCAGGTGGCTCAGTCCGTTGGTCGTCCGCCTACGGCTCAGGTCACGATCTCACGGTTTGTGAGTTCGAGCCCCTCGTCGGGCTCTGTGCTGACAGCTCAGAGCCTGGAGCCTGCTTCCGATTCTGTGTCTCCCTCTCTCTCTCTGCCCCTCCCCCGCTCAAGCTCTGTCTCTGTCTCTCTCAAAAATAGATAAGCATTAGAACAATTGTTTTTAATTAAAAAAAAAAAGATGCTGATGGTGGTCTTTGGAATGAATAATAATAGCTGGCAATAATTAAGCACACGCCGCTCCCCTGTAAGGCCGGCACACGCATCCCTGCGATGGTAGGGGAGTAGGTGGAGAGGACACAAGGGTAACATCACAGAGGGAGCTTAGCTCCAAGCCGGAACGCTGGAGAGGCCTCAGGTTGCTCTGCCTGGCCTCACCTTCTCTGTCGTTACACCTGAGTGACTGGCGCTCCGCACCCCAGCTCCTCTTTTTCTCTCTCTCCTGCCTCTCCCAGAAGTCTGTGGGACTCACGGGGCTAGACGAGGGCAGTACTCTGGCTGTGACTGGTAAATGACACAGGAGGTGCAGAGGAGAACTGAACTATGGCTGTGGCAGTGAACTCCTTCAGCTGTCATTGTACAGCCTTTTTAATCAAGGTATGTACCCTTGTATTTTTGTCCTAGAGAAAAGAAGCCCACCTCCTTGACATCAAGGGCTTTGTATCTGAATCACCTAAGTGACTCAAAGTCCTGACTTAAGGAAACCAGGTAAGAAAAGTTTACTCTGTGAAGCCTTCCTACCACGTATAAGTTTTATGTTTATAATTCTTATCAAGAAGCTAAATGGCTAAGGGAGAGAAGGGTGTTAACCTCTATCAAAAGGCTGCACTGGCAGGATCCAGAAAACAGGGAGATTGGAGAATATTAGAGCCTCGGGAGCACGGAAGTTATCAATTGCAATTTCTTTTCTTTTGTGTACTGGCTGTATAAGGGGACAGAATCAAGAGCAGGTGCCGAGGCATATTAAAACCTTTCCTTTGATCATTTAGAAACAACCAGGGAAATACATTCTCACCGGAGAAAAGGCACTAACAGAGGAAGAGAGAAGTAGACAAGTGCTTTTGAGGCTCAATAAGCCTGAAGTCAAAGCTCAACATTCATGAAAGGATTTTTTTTTCATTCTAAGTTAACAGATTCATGTTCTGATCAAGGTATGTGAATGAGATTAAAGGTTGGAATAAATTAAGGATATCCTTTATTAAAGAGTAATAAAGGCACCACATTGCTTAGTATTTAGCAATACTTTAAGCTCAGCTATTTTATTTATTTTGAGAGAGCGAGCAAGCAGGGGAGGGGCAGAGAGAGAAGGAAAGAGAGAAACCCAGGCAGGCCCCACACTGTCAGTGCAGAGCCCAGTGCAGGGCTCGATCATGATCTGAGCCGAAATCAAGAGTTGGATGCTTAACCGACTGAGGCACCCAGACACCCCAAGTTCAGCTATTTTAATAAACTGACTTTTGTTTAAAAAAGCAAGGGTAGGTGGTGGCCATCTGTTTCCTAAGATAAAGGAGCCTCATCACTGAAGCCCCAGCTGACCTTCATCATTTTGAAAAGGGAAAACTTTGGGAAAGTTGAATCTCCAAACAAACCTATAAAGAGAAAGCAACAAAGGCCACAGGACAGGCGACCTTCCTTCTTTAGGTCAGGGAATAAGGCTATATTCCATCAGGTCCCCAACTCAGATAAGAAGGCAGGCTTTGGAAATAAGTTAACAATGATGAAGAGGAAGGATAGAATATGGGGGATTGTGAGGGGGAAAGCTTCCAGGAGACAAAGGAGAAGTTCTAGGCATGGATGGATGGATGGATGGATGGGGAGAGTCCCCAGCTGCTTTACATGTTGACTTTTTGCTATAGGAACCGTATCCCATCAGACACCATGCGGTGTTCCATCAGGCGCGGCATCATAACCTCAGTGGGCATTGGATTCCTGTGGCTCCTCGTCACTTTGAAAACCCCCAGGGAAACTGAAGATGTTCAGAACGTGACGGCTTTCAAAGGCCAAGTAGCAACCCTTGCTCTCAGTGTGGGAATTGAGGATGTAGGGAGGGAATGGTGTGGACAGGTAGATTCTCAAAGCACCTGCTCCCTTGCACCTGCGAGCAGGAAGCTCCAAAGAGAGTTGGGATATGAACCTGGACCCATCGGTCCATAAAGAAGCTGCTCCCCCAACCCCAATATTTGTTAAGGTAAGGAAGAGAGCATATAGTGCTCGAGCCCTCATTGCTTTGGCCAGTGGTCAGGCACCCCGAGAATGTGCTGGGCTCACTCTAGGGAGAGTTCCTCTTTCCTGGAAAAGCTTATGAGAATCCTCTAGGGGGCTAAACACTCTTCTTCTTATGAAAGGAGGTACACGTTTTGCTTTTTGTCAATGATCTAGGAGGACAGTTATGGCAAAAGAAAAGATGTGAGACTGCTGGAAGGCTGGCAGAATCATACCTTCCAGTATATTAAGACAATTCAGCAGAGAAGAAAGAGTGAGTTCCAAGGAGGGGAGTGGGGTACCCTGAGGGAAGTAGGGACATCAAGAGAAGGTAGCTAGGAAGGAAAGAAGAAGGGAGAGGAAAAAAGGCAGGACTGCTCCCAGGAATATTGGAATCTGGCAGACAGTTCAGGAATGAGGAAGAAGGAGGGAAAAGATCATTGTTACAGGAAGGCAGAATCACCGGATTAGAGAACATTTGGATTAGAAGGGCCTTAGAGCCATAGTCCAAATCCCTCAGTTTTGTGAATCAGGACCGAAGCTCAGGAGTGAAGGGACTTGCTCGAGGTCACACAGTCAGTGGTGGAACTGGGACAAGAACGTAGGGCTCTTGACTTTTGGAGAAGCGCTTTTCCTTTCACCTAAAGCTGAGCTTTGGGAAGGTGAACTGTAAAACAAAAAGAATTATAGTAACTATAATGTTAGCTAATACTCCTGAGCACTTAAACCATGTGCTACAAAATTCTGGCTCAAAGACGACTCAAAGGGACCCACAGGGACTCAGCATCACCTAGTTTAGTGCTTCTCAGACTTTAATGTGCATTGAAGGTACTTGGTGATACTGTTAAAAGGCAGTTTATCTAGGAACCCAGATTCTGCTTTTCCAATAAGCTTCCAGATAAGATTGATGTTGTTGGACTAAGGACCATATTCTGAGCAGCAGTGATCTAAACACCCCCTCTACCAAAAGAGAGCACAGATGGGAACTAGAAGAGGGAAGAAAGGAACAGAGAAGGTCCCAGAGAGCATCCCAACCCTTAACCCTTTGACTACCTTCACTACCAAACCCGACGTACTCTGACAATTGTCCCTCTTTTGCCTCTCCTTAGCGTGGCTGACAGTGGGGATCTCCTCAGTGCCACGACCAGATCAAAGCGGCCTCTTGTACACCCTGGTCTCTCTGTTCCGTGCTTCCTCTAAGATCGAGCAGAAACGTCTCACAGTACTGGTTCATCTGGCACATTCTGACCTCACCGGGCTCAGAGAAACCATTGCCCATATTTCAACCCTCTTCAGCCCACAGATCTTGTCAGGGAAGCTGCTACTGATTCATGCTCCATCTGATGCCTACCGCACCACGGATGACACGAGGAAGGAGGCCCACCGTGGGGAATTCTACTCCAAGCAGAATAGAGATCATGCCTTCCTCATGAGCTTTGCCGCAAAGCTCTCTGAATACTTCCTGTTACTGGAGGACAATGTCCTTTGTGCCCCCAACTCTATCACCCACATTCATTGGAAGGTGGACACAATGAGGTCCGACCCATGGGTGCTACTGGAGTTCTCTAATATGGGCTTCCTCGGCAAACTCTTCCACAGCAGGGACCTCCCACTCCTGGCTCATTTCCTCCTCCTCTTCTACAAGGAAAAGCCCCTTGACAGACTGATCCCCCACTTCCGTACCCTCCTAGCTCAGAAAAACCCAATCCTCTGCAGACCGTTCCTTTTCTACCACAGGTTCTCCTACTATACCTCCAATGACAGTCAGAAGGCCACGCCAGTCCGGAAAAAGAACCCCTATGGTCCTGACAACCCACCTGCAGCCATTTTCACAGATATGAAGGTTTTTGATGTTCATTTCCCCTGGAAGGCCTACACTCTGGATGAGTCATTCTTCTGGACCCAAAATGTTAGTGCAGGGAACCACCTGACAGTCCTTTTGAAGCATCCAGCGAACTTGAGCAGAGTGCAAGTGTTGACAGGCACCATCGTGGATGGAAAGCATGCCCTAGAGAAGGGGCAAGTGGAGCTGGGCTATGACCCCGAGGGAATGCCTCAATACTGTACCAGCTTTGCCTTGCTGGGCCATCTCTTGGAAGGGCAGGTGAATCAGGAGCTATTCAAAAGTATGGGGTACGATGTGAGCTGTGTAAGGCTGGTGGTGAAAGCTAATCAGGTTGGCGGTCTCATAATCAGGCATATTTACCTCTGGGAGGAAAATCCCAAAGATATGGAAGCAGCTCAGAGTTGGAGATAAATCACTAAGGATGTGAAAAATTAAAGTTGTGAAGCTGTTCCATTCCAGCCTGAGTGACATGGGGAGATAGATGTCAGGGAATGAGGGGCAGGGAGAGAAGACTCTATGATGCTTTTGGTGCCACCATGATATTAAGAGACCTGTTCCTTTTTCTCCCCAAACAAGTAATTCATATATATATATATACATATATATACATACATACATACATATATATACATATATACATATATGTATATACATATATACACACATACATACATATATATACATATATACATATATGTATATACATATACATACATACATATATGTATATATATATGAATTTATATATATATGTAAAACTTTTTATGTTTATTTATTTATTTATTATTTTAAGTAGGCTCCACACCCAACATGGGGCTTGAACTCATGAGCCTGAGATCAAGAGTTGCATGCTTTATTGACTGAGCTGGCTGGATGCCCTATAAGGTGATTCTTATAGGTTATCGTTTTCTGGGAGCAAATATAGCTTAGCCCAACTTGGAGAATGGCCTTGGTCACTCCCAGAATGTTTAGATTTGGGGGATGCTGAGATGAGCACAGAGTGTTTGTGTGTGTGTGTATAAACACATATATTGACACACAGTCAGAGGTGGGGAGATGTAATGTGGTAGTAGGAGGGTAAGTGGGGAAATCATGGGGTGTCCCTAAAACTGACAGCATAAGTAGCCAAGAAAGTGACCCTCGTTAGAAGTCAAATTCTCTGGGGGCGCCTGGGTGACTCAGTCAGTTAAGTGTTGGACTCTTGATGTTGGCTCAGGTCATGATCTCACGATTCGTGAGTTCGAGCCCTGTGTCAGGCTCTGCGTTGATGGCGTGGAGATTGCTTGGGATTCTCTCTTTCCCTCTCTCTCTCTGCCACTCCCCTCCTCATGCTCTCTCTCTCTCAGAATACAAAAATAAACATTTAAAAAAAGAAGTCAAATTCTCTGAAATTCAGAAAAGCGGTAGATGGACCGATAGCAATAAAACTAAACCCTTACCTCTATCCTTTAAGCTGTTTCATAGTGTCCATGAGTTTCCTCCTTTCCTCACAAACTTGGACATAAATAGTTTGTAACTAAAACTTCACTTTGTCATCAGCAATTCACTCCTTAACTCCCCCACTGGTGTCTACACCCACCAAGCTACTGAAACTCTTCCCTAGTTGCAATGACAAAAATAGTCAAAACCCAGCTGCATTTTTTCAGAGCTCATTCCCCTTAACTCTCTGTAGCAATATACAATACTCACTAGTGTTTCTTCTAGAAACAGCCTTCTTCCTTCTGGGATTCATCCATTTATTGGATATTTGCTGAGTGCGAGGCACACAAAAAAAGCCCCTGTGGGGTTAAGTACATGGTCTTTTGGAAGCACAGATCTGCTCTTCCTAAAATATTCTTGGGGGCTTAGGAAAAGTTTCTTGGAAAATACAATACCTAAGCTTAGACCTGCCAGATAATTAGAGAAGATAGCCAGGTAATGTGGGGAGAAGGTCAGGGAGATTTTCCAGTAAAAGAAACAGCATGCTGAGAAGTAGGCAAGAGGTGAGAAAGAACATGGTTCATCTGGGAAAACGCAAATCATTTAGTGGGACAGGAGATGGAGGGCAAGCTGGAGGAGGGATGGGGCAGAAGATAAAGCCACAGGATTGAGAGAGGACCAGCTAAGAAGGGCCACAGACAGTTCAATGGGGGAAAGAACAGTCTTTTCAATAAATGTCTTTTCAATAAATAGTGTTGGAACAACTGAATATCCACATGCAAAAGAATGAATTTGGACTCCTACCTCACACCATATACAAAATTGAATCCAAATTCATAGAAGAAAATAGAAGGTGTAAATCATTGTCACCTTGGATTAGGCAACAGTATATTAAGATATGACACTGAAAGCATCAGAAATCAAAGAATAGATCGATTGGACTTCACCAAAATTAAAAACTTTTGTGCTTCACAGGACACTATCAAGACAGTGACAAGAAAACACACAAAATGGAATATTTGCAAATCATATACCCAATAAGAGACTGTTATAAAGTCTTATAAAGTCAGAATATTATAAAGTCTTATACTCAATAATAATAAAAAAATAACCCATTAAAGATGGGCAAAGGGTATGAATAGAGATTTCTCCAAAGAGGATGTACAAATGGCCAATAAATACATGAAAAGATGCTCATCGGGGCACCAGGGTGGCTCAGTCAGTTGAGTGTCTGACTTCAGCTCTGGGCGTGATCTCATGGTTTGTGAATTTGAGCCCTGCATGGGGCTCTCTGCTGTCAGTGCAAAGCCCGCTTCAGGTCCTCTGTCTCATCTCTCTTCCCCTCACCTACATTCTCTCTCTCTCTCTCTCTCTCTCTCTCTCTCTCTCCTCTCCCTCTCCCTCTCAAAAATAAATAAACATTAAAAAAAGAAAGAAAGAAAAGATGCTCATCATTAGTCACTAAGGAAATGCAAATCAAAACCACAATGAAATACCACTTCACACCCACTATTAAGGCTCTAATTAAAAAAAAAAAAAAAAGGAAAAGTGTTGGTGAGAAATTCGGACCCACATACATTGCTGGTGGGGTTGTGAAATGGTGCAGCCACTTTGAGAAAGTTCCTCAAAATGTTTAACAGATTACCACGTGATCCAGCAATTCCACTCCTAGGTCTATACTCAAGAAAATGAAACATACATCCACACCAACACTTACACATGAATGTTCATAGCAGTCTTATAATAACCAAAAAGTGAGAATAATCTACATGCCCAACAGATGAATGAAGCAGAATGTGGTGTAACCATACAAAGGAATATTAGTTGGCCATAAAAAGGAATGGGGAGTATGGGCCTGCTCTGTAGCACACATGAACCATTATGCTGCATGAAAGAAATCGGTCACAAGAGGCCACATATTATATGATTCCATTTATAGGAAATGACCGGACTAAGCAAATCCATAGAAGTAAAAGTGGATTAGCAGCTGGGGGCTGGGGAAAAGGGAAATGGAAAATGACTTCTAATGGGCATGGGGTGTCTTTTTGTGGGCGATGAAAATGTCCTAAAATTAGGGGCGCCTGGCTGGCTCATTTGGTGGAGCGAGCGACTCTTGATCTCGAGGTCGTGAGTTCAAACCCCACACTGGGTGTAGAGATTACTTGAAAATAAAACCTTAAGGAAAAAAAATGTTCTAAAATGGTGGTAATGGTTGCACAACTTGGTGAATATAAAAACTATTGAATTGTGTACTTTAAAAATGAATGTTGGGGCGCCTGGGTGGCGCAGTCGGTTAAGCGTCCGACTTCAGCCAGGTCACGATCTCGCGGTCTGGGAGTTCAGGCCCCGCGTCAGGCTCTGGGCTGATGGCTCAGAGCCTGGAGCCTGTTTCAGATTCTGTCTCCCTCTCTCTCTGCCCCTCCCCGTTCATGCTCTGTCTCTCTCTGTCCCAAAAATAAATAAAAACGTTAAAAATGAATGTTATGGTATGTGAATTATAACCTAATAAAGCAGTTATTAAAAAAAAAAAAAAAGCTGTAGAAGCAAATCAAGGGCTTTAGACTATCCTGATGGCAATAGGGAATCATTGAACAGTTTTAGCCAGGACAGCGAAATGACCTGTGTTGTGCTTTGGAAAGATCACTATGGATATCTTGAGCAGACTAGTTTGAAGGGAGTCAGGATGAGGTATCCAATTAGAATTAAACAAGAGAATATATACAAAGTGTCTATCTCAGTACCTGGAGTATAATAGATAATAAATGACACTTCCTGGGGCCCCTGGGTGGCTCAGTTTGTTGAGTGTCCAGCTCTTGGTTTTGACGTGGATCATGATCCCAGGGTCATGGGATTGAGCGCTGTGTTGGGCTCTGTGCTGACAGTGCGGAGCCTGCTTGGGATTCTCTCTCTCCCTCTCCCTCTGTCCCTTCCCTGCTCTTGTGCATACTTTCTCTCTCTCTCTCTCTTTCTCTTGCTAGCTCGCTCAAAATAAATAAACATAAATAAAATAAAATAAAATAAAATAAAATAAAATAAAATAAAATAAAATAGAATAGAATAGAATAGAATAAAATAAAATAAAATAGAATAAAATGACACTTCCCACTTCCCTTATCTTTCTTCCTTCTTCCCTTCTCTTTCCCACCTTTCTTCCATAAATTCTACACCAAATCTATATTTCCACATGCCTCTCTGACTAATGATCTCTGTCATTGACACTGTTTCCTCCATCCATCCCTAAACATGGGACTATTCCAAGGCCCTTTACTCTTTTTTTTTTTTATGTTTATTTTTTGAGAGAGAAAGAAAGAGAGGGACAGAGAGAGAGGGAAAGAGAGAATCCCAAGCAGGTTCCACGCTGTCAGCACAGAGCCCAACGTAGGGCTGGATCTCATGAACTGTGAGATCATGACCTGAGCCGAAATTAAGAGTTGGATGCTTAACCGACCGAGCCACCCAGGCACCCCAAGGCGCTTTACTCTTATGCATCTATGCCTTCTTCCTTCAATTGGTCCATCACTCAGAGTCACCTGAATGAACTTTCAGGTACTACCTAAGTCAGCAGCATCCTCTGAGGTCTCCAATCTGAGCCTCAGTGTCTTCTCTCCAGCTGATGATGGACACCCTCTACGTAGCTCTTCCATGGTCATCTCAAGCTCAACGTGTCTAAAACCAAATTCTTGAGCTTGTACACCCCTCCAGACATGTCTATTTCTGGCCATAGTTACCTTACACACATAAACTCAAAATCTTAAAACAGTGCTTTAAAACAGTGGTCTATAAGCCACTTGTATCAGAATCACCTGGATCATCAGGGAAATGCAAATCAAAACCAAGATGAGATACCACCTCACACCCATCAGAATGGCTAAAATTAACAACACAAGAGACGACAGGTTTGGTGAGGATGTGGAGAAAGGGGAAGCCTCTTGTACTGTTCACAGGAATGCAAACTGGGGCAGCCATTCCGGAAAACACTATGGAAGCTCTTCAAAAGGTTCAAAATAGAACTACCCTATGATACAGCAATTGCA